CCCAGATGCCTAGTTTTTTTTTTCTTATATGAATTATACACCAAGACACAAGTGTACAACGCATAAACAGTCGTAAATGTGCGCGAGAGACAGGAAGACCCGCCTCAGAATTTTCGATCCTCAGACATGGATCCGGGGCCTGCGTGGCTTGCCCCAAATTGCAGCGAAGCTGTTGGACCATTTCCAACCTTTGCCATCCACCACTCTGATGCGGTTCAGAAGACAATGTTCTTGCTCCGTCATTTTTTGCCACCTGGCCTGCCGATGCTTCCCTCGCTGCTGCATCCTTGCCACCGAGGCACGCACGTGCATGCGAAACTTGCACGCACGTGCATGTTCACGTGCATGCGGAAAGCCGACTCAATCCTCCGCAGAACCCTTCTCGTGCGAAACTTGCAGCCTCGGAAGGCTCCCTCGCAACGTTCCGCCCACAGCTGATGAAGGGCAATGGCTATCAATGATGCCTCCGGGAATGCTGACAAGGACTCCGCCTTTCCGAACAACCAATCACCAAGCGATTCACATCTCCTGGCTGGGTTGATCCTCGGCAAAGCCTTTTTTACCGCAGAAACCACCCCCTGAGTTCTCGGGCACTCCAGAAGGCAATGATCCAATGTATCAAAGCCGCCACAGTAGGGGCAGACTGGTTTGCTGCTGAGAAATTCCAGTCTCTCCCCGACCTGCAGGTTGAGGCAGTGGATGCGTAACACCACATCTCTCGGCCGGCTTGGGGTAACTAGTGATTCCCGGATCTGCACTGCCCGCTTCTAGTCGATATTGCCACTCCATCGACTCGCCTCCCGCCTGCTCTTTCCGCTGTTGCTGTGTTTCCAATGTTTCCTGAGCAGCCTCAGTGGTTCCGCTTTCCCCTCCGCCAGAAGCTTTGTGCGGAGCTGCTGGGGGCCACTTCTTTCCACCTCAAACACCTCCGCAAACCCCACGCTGGGAAGCTCGGCAGAGAGGAGCTGCTTCCTCCAGGATTCTGGCGCTGCTGCGAATGCCTTGAGCGCTAGGTTTGCAGAGTCTCTCCCCCACAGTTCTCTCTCCAGGGCTCCAAGATCCTTCAGCACTCCTCTCCCCTCCGCATCTCTTCAGACAAGATCACCAAGCCTGACCCCAGAGAGCCGCTTCGCTGCTTTTTGCCCTCCTACCGGCGTGGACACCGCCAGCGGAGAACGCATGAAGTTTGCACATGCCAGTTTCCATCTCTGACTTTTCCCCTCCCAGCTTTTCAACAGCTTCTCGTGGGATAGGAACGTATCCAACCCCAGCGGTAGGTCGGCTGCTTGGCGCATCAGGTGCCGCTTCAGCTCATCCGGCTCCGTAAGTATCAACCCAATCCTCCTGGCCGTCAGGCAGGTGAGCATCACCTCCGGGTCTCTCGCCCCCACCCCTCCTTCCAGTACCGGCGTGAACAGCAACTCCTTGCTCCACAGGTGAAAGCACTTTTCCGATGTTGCTTTGTTGGCTGACATGAAATTGTGCGTCATCTTAGTGATCACACTCCAGGTTTGCGCAGGAGGCGGGTAGACATGGGCCTGGGACCACGCGATTGGCAAGATATATCCGTCCATCACCGCCGTCCGAGCTTTGATCGGGAGGTATTGCGGCTGCCACAGCGTCATCTTCCCGGCAATTTTCTGCAGCGCTTTATCCCACGTCGGCTGGCAGCTCCCGCTTGGCGTGACCCATATCCCGAGGAGCCTCTCCGCTTCATCTGCGCCAGCCCATCGGAAACCATCCGAGCGCCATGTAGTCTTCCCCAGGTTAACTCCTAGCGGCATCACCACCGACTTATCCTTGTTTGTCTCCAATCCAGAGATGCACTTAAAATCCTCCAACACCTCCTCTGCTCTGCCAATTTGTTGTTTCCCCTGCAGCAGGAGGGTCGTGTCATCCGCATAACCGACATAAGCCAGTCTCTGACCCACACAGCTGGTGAGGGTGATCCCCAACTTCCGCTTCGCCACCTTCTGCGCCAATGGTTCCACCGCACATAAAAAGAGGTAAGGCGCTAAGAAGCAACCTTGTCTTACCCCAGAGACCACCTCCACCGCATCCCCTAGCCAGCCGTTGATCAACAAGTTTTTTCGCGTGTTCATGTGCAGGCCCTTCACCCAACCGATGTAGCGAGCCGGAAAGCCCATTCTCTCCAGCACCTCTAAGATGAAATCACGGGACACCGAGGCGAACGCGTTTTTTAAGTCAACGAGCAGCATGAACCAATCTTCCTTCCCGTTCTTAGCTACATCAATGACATCCGCGACCAACCCCACCGCATCTGACAGTCTTCTCCCCGGGATAAAGCCAAACTACTCCCGTGAAATCACCCTATGAAGTACTTTCTTGATTCTGCTTGCCAGGACCCGCGCCAACACCTTGTAGCTTATATTCAGCACCGTGATGGGGTGGTAATTCTCCAACTGCTCTTTCGCTCCTTTCTTATGCAGGAGAATCGTCACCGCGTCCTTGACGCTGGTCGGGAGCGAGGAGGTGGAAGTGAATTCCCGGACCAGTGCCATGACATGCTTCCCAAGCACGTCCCAGTGCAGCTCAAACACCTCCTTTGGTAATCCATCTTTTCCTGGCGTTTTATTGCATGCCATTTCCCTCAGCGCTTGCCTAACCTCTTTCTCTGTCCAATCTCCTTGCAGGCTCTGCTTCAGAGTACATCAACTTCTTTCCCGCAGCTGGGATCCAGTCCGATACCGTCGTGCGCTTATCTTCCCCGAAGAGGTTACGGAAGTAATCTGACGCCGCTTCCAAGATCCGCTTCGGCTCCGATACCACACCGCCCGGTACTGCAACCTCCGCTATCTGGGTTCTGGTTTTCCGCGTCTTGATTCTCGCCGACAGATGCGGTGAGGGGACCTCACCCGACAACGCCAGCTCTACCCCAGCCATGGTATGCATTCTGTCCCTCCGGAACGCGTGGTATTCTTTAAGTTGCTGCTCCCGCTTTCTCAACTTCTCCTTCAACACCGGATCCTTTGGGTTGCGCATGAACTTGCTTTAAGGTAGCCGCCGCCGAGATGAGGTGAACGATAGTTGCCCTTATCCTCTTGCTCTCCTCTTTTGCATATGTTATTAAGCTGGCGTTCACGCGAGAGATAAGGGTGGTGAAACCTCCACCATTCTGCGTGACCAACCGATCAACCTCCTCGATCCTTTTCTTAGCCCCCGGTCTGTGCAGCAATGAAGGGTGGAAACGGCAAATCCCCGGCCCCAGCTTCAGCTGCGATTTGAATTTGAAGGCTACACAGATGGCAAAGCCATGGTCTGAGACTGGTTCGTCAGGCATGACATGCGAGGCCGACACAAGGCGCGGAAGCAGGGACTGAGAGACTAATGCTCGATTAATCCGTGAGCTCTCTTAATGCGCTTGTAAGAAGAAGGTAAACTCTCGCTCGAAGGGGTGGAAGGAGCGAAAGGCGTCTGAGATGCCAAAGTCTTTGCAGTGGTGGTAGAGAAAGTCATTCTCTTTGGTCGAGCCGTGTCTAGAGGTCTTATCTAACAGTGGGTTTTCAATGGTATTGAGATCTCCTAGGATGAGCAAGTGAGTACCTGGCTGGATGAGGCTTAAGATTGGACCAGGTACTATCCTAACGAATGCCCTTTTTTCAGCTTTGTCTGCAGGGAAATATGTTGCTATCAGGGTAAGGTTAAGATTGGAGCAATGGATTTCAGTCTTGACTAGCCTTCCTGAAGGGTGAGCTAAGGGGTTGTGGAATGAGAGATCTGCTCGACGACTGAGAACTGCTACTCCTCCAGCCCGAGTCACACATGTGGTGGCGGCAAATGAAGAGAGGTTAAGGGTAGACCAGTATGGGTTATCCGTTGCTATCCGGGTGTCCGACAATATCATTACATCCGCTCCTTTCTTGCTGTTGATCCATGCCGTTGTACGTTTCCGTTTCGTATTATCCCCCAGGCCGTTGACATTCAGGCCCGCAAACGACAGAGTATTCCGTGTATTCATTTAATCACTCCTTGATTGCCTCTACGCATCCACAGGCAGGTGAGACAGAACACAGCAACGACCAACGCTCCAACTGCTATCACCATGGCAAGCCGGTCTGGATCCGTTAAATTCCATACTCCTTGCGAACCGTATGCATATTTTCCTTCTCCTTCGTCAAGCGGGTGACAGCACCGAGCTCCCCCTGTCCGTGCAGATGACGCGCAACAGTGATGCGCTCTGCAGCGGCAACAAACAGCTTCCCGTGCGCCTTCTCGCAGCAGGTCTGAGTACAGATCCATTCCTCTCTGGAGCTCCCAGTGGAGATCAGGACGATAGCAGGATCGGTCGCACCAGGCGCGATGCAGTCAGGGAAGCAGCTGCGACAAGCAGCCCCCAGATGCCTAGTGTAGCCGATACTTGCAGCACTCCCAGTACCGGTAAGTTTGACACAGGATGGAACACTAACAGAAACGGATTGTAAGGGGCAAGGTTGGCACGGCAGCATTCAAGTCAAAGCGCTGACCACCCTTCTCCTGTAGAGATTGAAAGCAAACTTTGGGAAAATATATTATGTAGGATAAACGGCAAAGGAGCTGTCTGAACCCGGAATCGAACCGGAGACCTCCAGTGTGTGAGACTGGCGTGATAACCGACTACACCATCCAGACATGTTTAAGTACTTAATACAAATATGCAAATTTTATACAGATGACGTGGCGCTAAATCTGTTCCCTTAGGAATGCTGCTGATGTGGTGGAGAGCAGCACAGGCCACGCCCAGCGCTGGCCCTTTCACATGCCTCCTCGTTTCCCTTGCCAATCCCTCAAAGCAATCAACCTCACTGCTTGTGCACAGATTACTGTTTTTCCTACTTGCTTGCTCGCTGCTTCCAGATCAGCGCACTGGTCGCCGCCATTCGCCTCTGCTTGCTAGCTGCCTCTGCGCCAACGGTTCACACGCCCTGCCTGCTCGTCCGCTCGCCGCGCGCTGACGTGGAATGGCTTCTATGGCTGCCACGGCGGTGGCTGATTGTTGCACAATGCGCTGTATAGGTAGGTTACGATGACGCGTCGCCGCATGTCATGTCCTCGCAGCCGCATTGGCACCTGCAATTGTCGCTCGCGATAATTGCTCCGCTGAGATCTGCGTCGCTTCGTGGCTCCACGCGGGTGCATTCGTTCGCCATTCCGCCCACCGCCTTGCGCCGATACTCCACCTTTCCGCCCATCTCGCCATGCCCCTGACTCTTAATCTCATTCCGCGAATTCCGCGTACTTCGCCATCCCCGTCCGTACATTGTCGCCCAGGCTCAACTCCCTCGTCGCAATGTCGTGCAACGGCCGTGGCCTCGCTGCCTGCTCGTCGCTTCGCTTCGCGCGCACACCGCTCGCTCGCTAGCGTCGCACACATCGCCTCGTGGCAACGCTGCGACTCGCGCCAAGCGACTCATTTACGGTAAGCCTCAGACGCTGCCACTCTTCCCCTTCACCTTCGGACAACTAGAGTCGAAAGGGATGAACTGCACGGAAGCAACAAAGACGGGAATGCTTTGTGAAAAAAGGTACCGGCCGGCGGGTTTGTAGCTTCTCGCGGATTCGAAACGAGTTTCTCGAATCCGTGTTCTCTCATGGGCCTGCATCCCGCTCCCCAACGCGTCACCCTCCCAACCACACACTCTCTTTCCCTCCTATCCACCCCCACCCTCTCACCTTTCCCCTATCCTACCCACATGGATCCCCGGCGGGCCAGCGTTGCGCGGCCTGGGGCGGTGCGGGCGGCAGCGGACGAGGAGGTGGAGGAGGAGCTGATGATGATCGAGGAGAGCGCGGTGAGTGGCGCGGAGAGCGCGGTGAGTGGCGCGGAGAGCGCGGTGAGTGCAGAGGGGAGCGCGGTGAGTGGCGAGGAGAGCGCGGTGAGTGCAGAGGGGAGCGTGGTGAGTGCAGAGGGGAGAGCGCGGTGAGTGGCGCGGAGAGCGCGGTGAGTGGCGAGGAGAGCGCGGTGAGTGCAGAGGGGAGCGCGGTAAGTGCAGAGGGGAGAGCGCGGTGAGTGGCGCGGAGAGTGCGGTGAGTGCCGGGACCAGTGCAGCCGTGCTTGCCAGGGGTGGGCGTGGCGCTTGACGCTGTGAGTGTGAGTGTGGCCCTTGGCGAGCTTGCAACACAAAGGCAGCACGGCAGGGTTTAAGACTTGCATAATAACTGGGCCGCCATTCTTCAGCAGGGTTTAGGCTTGTATCTGGCATCACCAACGCACAGGCAACGCTTGGCACTCCCCTCTCTCTCGCCTCCTTCCATCCACCACCCTCCCTCCCTCTCCCTCGTTCAACTCCTTCACTCTGCTGCTCACTCACCTCCCTTCACCGCACTGACACTCCTCGTATTCCCCACCCTGCCACACTACCATGATTCACTGCGGTGCAACGCGGTGCAGATGGAGCGCATGGAGAAGACACTGGACAGCGTGAGGGGCAACTTCAACACCGTCAGAACGGGGCGAGCCAGCCCCTCCCTCCTGGACCGCATCGAGGTGAGCCCCTCCCGTTCCTTATGCCTTCCTACCTCTCACCCTCACTCTCGCTCCCACTCTTGGTCTCGCTCTCCTCTTCTCTATGCCTCTTCGCACCTACAATCTGGCTTCTGCCTTCAGTTGCTTCTGTGCCTTGCTGGCTGCACTATGTGCCACGTGTACCCCTCCCATCGCCACGTGTGCTACTCACATTGCCACGTGTCACCCTCCCATGCCCTGCTGTACTACCGCCAGGTGGAGTATTACGGCACAAACGTGATTCTAAAGAGCATCGCGCAGATCGCTACGCCCGACGCCTCCATGCTGCTCGTCACGCCCTTCGACAAATCCAGGTGCCATTCCTTTCCCTTCCTTTGAACCCCTCCCACTCTCGGCCCCACTGCCTGCCTCGCCCCATTCCTTCCCCTCCCCAAGCATTCTTTCCATAATAGAAGGCCATAATGAAGTTAGACGTGCTGTGAAGCACTTAATAGAGCCCCCCCCTCACATTCACCACAATACCTGCCCTTCCCCCCCTCACATTCACCACAATACCTGCCCTTCCCCCCCTCACATTCACCACCATACCTGCCCTTCCCCCCTGAGCCAGCATCCCGCCTGTAGAGAAGGCGATTATGAGGCCAGACGTGGGCCTGACACCCTTTTGCTCCTCTTGCTCTTGCCCCCCCCCTCCCCCCTTTCACACACCCCCCACTTTCTCCTCCTCCCCCCTCTTTCACACAGCATCCCGTCCATCGAGAAGGCGATCATGAAGTCGGACGTGGGTCTCACGCCCTCCACACCTTCCCCACCTGCCTCGCGTCCCTCCTCCCCTCCCCTCCCTCGCCCCCACCCCCCCCCCCCCTCCCATCCTCCCAGCATCCCATCCATCGAGAAGGCGATCATGAAGTCAGACGTGGGCCTTACGCCCTCGTCCGACGGCAACGTCATCCGCCTCTCCATCCCCCAGCTCACTGCCGAGCGCCGCAAGGTGCTGTGCTGCCTCCCGACGGCCGCATACGCACTACATACAGACTCTCTACCCCCTTACATCCTCCGCTATATGTTCAGTAAAAATCTGAGACAGTGGGAATGAGGTGGCGTAATAATAGGCAGTAGCATAGACAACCGAAACGTGGCTGAGGGAAGGGCAGGGGTGGGGATGGTGAGAAGGAGTAGGAGATGAGAGGTGGTTGCTGTCGCCAGCCGATGGACTTGTGATGCCATGCCTCTGCTTCTATGCTCGCTCACCCTGAGATACCTCCCAGCCTCCTCCCATCCTCTCTCCGACCACCTCTCAAGATTGGCTTCTCGAAATTACCGCTCCAAAATTCCTCTTCTCTCCCTTCCGCCTTGCCATGGCGTGGTGTGGGCACTGCATGTCATGGCATGGAGTGGCATGGCATTGCACATGCATGTCGTGGCTTGATACTTATACGGCATGTGCATGGGCATGGCATGTGTGGTGCACGGGTGGGCGTGGCATGGGCTTGTGCACGGCCGGCCATGGCATGGCATGGCATGGCATGGCATGGCATGGCATGGCATGGGCATGGGCATGCCATGGGAATGTGTTTGGGTGGGCATGGCGGCAACAGGAGCTGCTGAAGACGGTGTCAAAGCTGTCTGAAGATGGCAAGGTGAGCCATGAAAAAGATGCAGGCGAAGTGTGCTTTCATGAATCCATGCATCCACGACTCACACCCATGCCCACACCCATAAGCACACAGCTTTGCTGAAGCATGCCACAAGGCTCTCTCACGAATGCCCTTCACCACCCCCGCTGCACCTGCCACCTGCACCCTGGGCACCCTGCCCCACCCGCTCGCCCCCTCACCCCGCTGGCCCCTCTGGCCCACCTGCTCCTCTGTCCCCACCTGTAATCGCGGCCCCCCTTCCCCCCTCATACCGACGCATGGCCACCAGGTGGCGCTGCGCAACGTGCGGAGGGACTCCATCAAGGCCTATGAGAAGCTGCAGAAGGTGCCGCCGGGATCACCGCATTCTAGAGTCACTTGCTTGCCTGCCCCACCCCTTCACACTCACCATGACTAGGATGCCTACATCTGCGTGCTGCATATCGCATGCACCACCCTGTCCTGCATGATCCCACTCATTTGCCATCTGCTTACCCATGCGATTTGCTAGTAGCAGCTGCCTCTTTGCCTTGTCACTTGTGCCCGATTCATCTCATGTCATCACATGCCACGTGTCCTGTTCTTACAGGAGAAGAAGATCTCAGAGGATGCTCTCAAGGACCTTTCAAATGACATCCAGGTGACGTGGCGTGCTTGGATTGGCCAGCATCACCCGCCCTGCAGGCACCCACCCAGACGTTTCCCTCACAGTCTCTGCTGACTCACCGTCTCCCGCTCCTCTCTGTCAAGCAACTCACATTCTAGACCCTCTGCTTCTGCTTTCCCCACTCATCCCAGTCACCCTTCTTTCTCTCTACTCCCCACCTTCTCTCCCCCCCTCCTTGCCCCTTGCCCCTTTCCCACGTGTGCACGCGAGCAGAAGATGACGGACGACTATGTGAAGCAGATCGAGACGGCCTTCAAGCAGAAGGAGAAGGTCCGTGCCGAGCCCACCCACCCTGAGATCTGCAGTGCTGTGCAGGAGGCTCCGTACCTTGATGTTTGTTTTCCTTTCTTCAAGTTGATCTTTGGAGGTAGATCCTCCAAATGCCTGCTCCCACGCCACGTCAGGGATTGCTCCGAACAACCGCACCTCTGCACCCCTTTCCATCCATCTCCACCGTCCCTCCCCCTCAGGACCTGCTCACGGTGTGAGTGGCTGTGACATGACAAGCAACTGAGCGGCCCACACACACACAAACACACGACTGAGCGCCAAACAGTCATGCCCCTGATTCCATCCATGCTGCACCGCTGCTGCTCTGCAGCTCTGCTGCCAAACGCCCATTCAGATGCACTTGCCGTGGGGCAGTGACTATAAAATATATATTTCTTCAGAAGGACTAGCATGATCATTTGATTTGTTAACAGCTCTCAAGGCCGAATGGCATGAACAGTCTTTTATACTCATTTTCTTGCAGCACATGGGTATCTCACCTCACAGGCATCCAGCATGGCTTTAGATAACCCTCACTGTTTGACAACCTTCAATTGAATAACCCCCAAGGGAAGAACCGCTTTTGTGGAAGATTGAACTAGAGTAGGGCCATGTTTTGCTATGACGGCATTCCAAAGCTCTTGGTACAATATGGAGCTTTACACAGGAAAACGGAATGAACAGGGCAAATTTCAGATACGAAGAATACATCGAATCGATATCATGCAGTAAACAACACGTTATCTACCACTTGTTTGTTGAGGGGTAGTAACGGGGGCCTGGCAGTGCGTGAGGGAGAAGAAGGTGCATCGCCCCACCCTCTCCTCATTCCCCGACACACACCGGTCCAGATGGAATGACCTTCCAGACAGCCACCGCTGCACCTCCCTCAGCACCGCCTCCCCCTGCCACTTAGCTAAGAGCGGGTCATCCGGCAGCAAGAACGCATCCAGCTCCTCCACTCCTCCGCTCGCATCTACCCCTCCTTGATCTACCCCATGCTCGCCCCCTTGTGCCTCCCCTTGCTGCGCCCCCTGCCCCACTTGCTGCAGTCGCCTCCCCCCCATCCTACCCACGCCAGCCCTCCCTACATCAGCACCACCGCCCTCCACACCCCCTTCCCCGCCCCCCGACCCCCCCTCCCAGTATCTGCCTCTGAGCTGCGCCAGCACGCCCTCCCCCGCGCCCTCCATGTCCACCAGCAGCTGGCACGTGCTCATGCCCCGCGCTAGCAGCCCCTGCAGGTCCGGTAGGCGCCCCGCTCCCACCTGGTTGGGGGGTTGAGGGGGGTGGGAGGTGGGCAGTAGTGAGGGAGGGAGGGGTGTTGTTGTGCTGTGCCCCCGTGCCCTCCACATCCACCGCACCTGCCACGCGTGCACCACACGCCAGCAGTGCACCTCACACGCCAGCAGTGCACCTCACACGCCAGCAGTGCTTGCACTCCACCAAGTGTACGCTGCGCATGGTTCCTCCCATGTGTGCACATGCAACACTCATGTAACGCCCATGTAACGCTCATGTAACGCCCATGTAACGCTCATGTAAGGCCCATATAACGCCCATGTAACGCCCATGTAACGCCCATGTAACGCCCATGTAACGCCCATGCAATGTATATTGACACTTACTCGAATGAGGTCCACGTGCTTGGACGCCCCTGCAGCCCCGAGCACATGGTCCGCATCTACAGCAGCGCCACCCCTATGTGAGTGCATGTATCCATGTAAGTGTATGTATGTATGTGTGTAACACTCACTCGAATCAGGTCCACGTGCTTGGACGCCCCTGCAGCGCTAAGCACATGGTCCGCATCTACAGCAGCACCTCCCCTCCCCACCACCTCCTCTGCCGCCTTTATCCGCCTCACCGCCGCTTCAAACACCGCCTTGTACTGTGCTCCCACTTCCCTGCCTGCCGCTGCTGACTGCTGCTGGGCGGCAGCGTCGGCAGTTTGGGCGGCAGCAGCAGTGGGTTGGGCGGGCGGTTTTGGCAGCATTAGGAGGCGCATGGAGGGCAGGGCGGAGAGCAGGTGGGCGTCCCAGAGGAGGTCGGCAGAGGGTGGGGTGGCAGGCAGTGACACGGCGATGCTGGCAGGTGGGGAGGAGAGGGCGAGGGTGGGGAGAGGAGATGGGCGGGGGATTAGGGGTGAAGGCATGAGGGAGACGAAAGACAATGGTGTGCATGCTAAGCAGCCGGCAGGACAAAGATGCGAGTTGCAGTGCAGCGCAGCACATTGCAGTGCGATGCAGCACATTGCAGTGCGGTGCAGCACATTGCATTGCGGTGCAGGGAGCAGTGCAGTGCAGTGCACTGAGTGCAGTGCAGTGGAGTGCAGTGGAGTGCGCCAGACCACATCCACGGAAGACTGTTGAGCGGTGAGGGGCACGTGTGGGCGGGTGATGGCAGCCAGAGCGGGCACCTGTGGGTGAGGGCGAAGAGGTGCTGCAGGAACGCGGACCAGCTGCCACCCCGCCCTGTGCCAGACGCCCCAAACACCGTTGCCTTGCCCAGCCCATGCCGCACACACAGCACTGCTGGTACCGGCGCCCTCCACCCCTCCCTCCTCACTGCCTCCCGCCACGCCGCCTCTGCTACCTCTTCCTCTGCTGCTGCCGCACTTGCTGTCTCCTCTTCCTTCCCGCCTTGCTCTAGCCCACTCGCAACTGGCCTCCCTCCTAGCCGCCCCAGCAGGTGTTGCCACAGGGAGGTTTGGCCTGCGGGGTTAGAGGCTGATGCTTGCTGCTGTTGTTGTTGAGCAGTGAGGAGAGCACGGCGAGCCGGTGGGGCTGTCAACGAGGCTGACGGGTTGGTTCGGCGCCGAACCTCGAGAGACAGCTGAGGTGAGGAAAGAAGGGGATGAAGAGGGGGGGATATCCGAGATGGTGGAGGGAAAGCATGTGAGCATGTGAACCATCTCTCCCACACAAGTCACCCCCACCCACCTCTGCCCCATGACCCCCACCCACCTCTGCCCCATGACCCCCACCCACCTCTGCCCCATGACCCCCACCCACCTCTGCCCCATGACCCCCACCCACCTCTGCCCCATGACCCCCACCCACCTCTGCCCCATGACCCCCACCCACCTCTGCCCCATGACCCCCACCCACCTCTGCCCCATGACCCCCACCCACCTCTGCCCCATGACCCCCACCCACCTCTGCCCCATGACCCCCACCCACCTCTGCCCCATGACCCCCACCCACCTCTGCCCCATGACCCCCACCCACCTCTGCCCCATGACCCCCACCCACCTCTGCCCCATGACCCCCACCCACCTCTGCCCCATGACCCACACCCACCTGAGCCACCTGCGCCTCACACCCCTCTCTGCCGCCCTCCACCGCAGCCATCACCGCCCGCCGCCCCGCCGCCAGCCGCTCCGGCACATGCTGGTCGAACTGCGCCGCCCAGTCCGCCGCCCACGGCCCCGTCTGCTCGCAAAACGGGTTGGGCGGCGGCTCGTGGTGGCAGGGGCGGCAGTAGTCGCCGCCGCGGCGGTTGCGGAGGTTGGGGAGGGCGAGCATGCGGAAGAACTGGTGGTGTGACACGAGGCACAAGGGGAAGTGCGCGCGCGTGACTGTCACATTCAGGCGCTGCAGCATGCGCGCGTACACCGTCTCCGCGTTCACTCGCCTGCCGTGAGTGGTGGGCACAGATGCAGCAGAGAGAGACGGGGTGAGGAGTGGTGAGCAACTGTGGCGACACGCAAGTGAGAAAGCACGGTGGCAGCAGGAATGGCAGTGGCAATTGCAAGGGGGAAGGCAGGAGCAAAGAGCATCGAATCCCAGCAGCCCTACTTGCCAGCTTCGCCGACGCCTTCGCTCACAGCCCCCAGCATGTGCAGTCGCGCAAACGCCGCCCGGCCCGCCGCCCGCGGCACCACCGCCAGCCTGTCATTCACCCCACCAAAATCCAACCCGGGCGGCGCCGTCAAGCTCCAGTACTCCAAGGCGCCCAGCGGCGCGGGCGGCGCTGCCCAGAAAGAGTCCGGGCGGGCCTTCATGAGCCACTTGTAGCGGCGGCTGTAGCGGCGTTCTCTCTCAGCAATATCAGCAGCGCACATGGCTTCCATGCTGAACTGCTGCAGCAGCCCCTGCGGCCCGTTCTCCAGCCCCTTGAGCGCGTGTGTGGGGTACAGCGCCTCGTTCACGTTGAAATCCGGAAACACTCGCACTGACACCAGCCTTGGCCCTCCCAATCCTCCTCCTCCCCCTCTCCCCGCCTCCCCTTGCTGCATGACGTTTTCTTCCCTGGCTCCCCCGGCTCCCTGCGCCCCCTCCGCCCACCCCATCCCCCTGAGGGCGAGGAGCTTGGCGGAGTTCTCATCGAGGGGCGTCACCACAAACACGTCTGCCTGCCCGTACCCCTCAACCCCCACCAGATTCGCCGCTATGGATGGCCCGGTCAGCTCAAACGTTCGCAGCTGCCCGACAAGGCACAGCGCCATGGAGTCCTCCGGCCAGGGCAGCTCAAAATCTGCAGCAGGCGCTGCTGCTTCTGCTGCTGTTACTGTTGACAGCCCTGGTGTGGGGGTCTGGAGGAGGGTTGAGAAAGGATGGAGAGGGGAGAGGTGGATGGGGTGGTGTGAGAATTCGATGGTGAGTGTGTGGCGTCTCTTGCTCTGCTTGCAGGTGACACAAGCAGAGCACACAAGCAACGGTTCTGCGCCCCTTGCTCTGCTCTGCTTGCAAACGCTCTTCTCTCCCTCGCACGCTCGTCCCTGCTCCGGCCCCTTCCACCAGTCGCCTTGCATCACCTCACCTCACCGCACCTCACCTCCGTGTGAAGATCCGTGTGGGGCAGGGCAGCATGGGTCACCAGCGATGCCTGCTGCCGGTGCCATGGAGTGGGGGGAAGGCGAGAGCAGCGTGGGGGGGTGGGGGTTGAAGGGAGACAGATACGAGGAGTTGGATGGAGGATAGAGGAGGGTAGAGCGAAGGGGAAGGGGTGAAGGGCATGTCATGTGGGCCGTGGGAGGGTGGAGGGAGGGAGGGACGAAAGGTGACAGGTACGTTGATACAGCACACACACTTTTACCCCTCACCTCGCCCTCTCCAGTCACCTTGCCTTTTCCCCTCACCTCCCCCTCTGTCTGCGCGCCACCGTGCGCGTGCAGCCATGGCGGCATCACGCTCGTGAATGCCAGCAGCGGCGTCAGCGCCAGCACCGCCACCACCGCCACTATCGCCACCCGCCGCGCCGCGCCCCTCCCGCCGCCTCCCCCGCTTCCCCTGCTGCTGGGCTGATCCGTGCCCGCGCTACTTCCCCCCGCGCCCATCCTGCTGCCCGCGCGGCTGCGCAACTGAAGCGCTCCCCCGACGCCGATACCCCCTGCGCTCCCCCGATAGCCCTCCCGCCCGCGCACTACCGCCGCCGGCTCCGCCAATCCCCGATCCGCCGCGCCCCGCCTGCGAACCTCGGAGTCCCGCGTCGCCGCGCGATGAGGCGACTGCGATTGGACAGGTGACGGCGGCGACAGTAACGGCGACGCTGCGAAACCTTCGCGGCCCCTCGCCACGCGACGACCTGTGACGAACTACAATCGCGAGGATGAGCGGGGGGGAGCGGAGAGGAGAGGAGAGGGGGTTGCGGAGGGGACGCACGAAGAATGCGGCGAGAAAATGGGGTGCAGCGGGGGCGGAAAGGGAGAGCTCACGCGATCGGGCGACGGGTTGGCGGAGTGGCGGCGGGGGATGGGGGAGGTCATGGCGGGCGCGGAGTCATGGCGCGCGCGAGACGAGGCGGTTCGGGGAAAGGCTGGTTGGGGTGTTCGGATTCGGACACCGGGCCATAGGCATGGCGAATCGCGACTTGGTTGGGGTGGCTGTGTGACTGCCTGGCGAGTTGCTATCGGTGGGGAAGTGATGGTGGGTGCGAACGCGATAGCGAATGACTCGATAATCCAATTAGAAAACTCATTGAATGTCTACCTCCCGTGAGAACTGGTTGTCTTACTGAAAGAACTAGTAAACCATAACACAAAGAACATACAGCATGTCGTGCATGATTGGGGTGAGACCGAGGGCAACAGTTGAACAGAAACGTGCTAATTCTTGCCTTCCCTAACCAGATCCAAGAGAAAGAACATGTTTGTATATAGGTACCATACTGAATGCAGTACTAACTACGCGGACAAACTACGGTAGGCGAACAACTTATCAACTGTTCGCCAGAGAGTGCATCAGGTTCTAAACGACAACCCTGTGGCTGTCTGGCTGGTGCTGGCAGCCCATGGCCTTGCTGCAACATGGCCTGGTTGCAACTAGTCCTTGCAGCTTGCATCCTGCTGGATGGAAGGGGGTGCATCGAATGTGGAGGGGACGTTAAAGTTGATGCAGGTGCAGAAGCAACTCAGAGATTGCAACCATGATTTTAACCCTCACTAGGACATTAGGAAGGAAGAGGCAACACGGGGGGGGCGGGGGTGGGGGGTACCACACGCACCTGTGGCCTGCTGTCCTCTTGCCTGCTTCGACCCTTGCCATCATTCCCATCAGCCTTCTCCTCCCCTGCCTTCCCTTCTTCACCCTCCTTCCCTCCCTTCACCACCTCCCCCTCTCCACCCCCCTGCCCGTCTCCACTAGCAGCAGCACCACCAGCAGCATCAGCGCCACCAGGTACAGCAGCAGCGGCAGCAGCGTCCTCAGCAATGGCAGGGAGGGGCATGCCGGGGAGGCCGAGGATGGACGGGAGCCCATCAGCAGCCACAGTCACGGGCCGCAGCTGAGCCACTGCAGGGGACACCGCCACGCCCGCTGCCACCGCTGCCGCCACCGCTGCTGCCGGGGAGGAGTGGTTGGGCTGGCCTGGCTTGGACTCCGTCAAGGCCTGGTGGGATGGGTGGGGGGAGGGGGCGGGAGAGGGAAGGGGGAGCGTGTGTGGTGGGATTTGCGTTGGAGAACTGGAGGGGAAAGGCTCACAATGCAATGCGATATGCTGCGGTGCTTTTGACGAGCGTCAGATGGGTTGATGTGTTGTGGGAGGGTGCGGCAGTGACCTCAGGGAGGTGATAATGCTTAGATCCGTGCGTGTATGTATGCCACCAGGCAGTACCATTCTCTGGATGTCCCTTTTCTAGGCGCATGAAAGCGCACTGACCTCGGGGAAAGGGGTATACATGCACTTTGACTTCATAGGGCAGGGGGGAGAAGAGAGTGGTAGGTGCGTACATGTGATGCGGCTCAAGACGGCACGGACCTCGGGGAAGAGGTAGATGTATTTGGAGTCCTGCTCGTAGGGCACGGGGCGGTACGCCATGCAGGCGTCACAGAGCTCACAGTTGTATCGGAACTGGCGCTCCACTCCCTTCTCCCTGCCCCCACGTGTAGCACCGTGCAACCACGGCATTGAAGGAGCCATGCAGACGAGAAGCGCACACAGAGAGCGGGAGTGCAGCGGCGAGGAGAATGCAGGGCAGTTGATGCAGCGTGCGGGCGCAGGCAGCACATGAGCAACGGCGTTGCCGGGGTGGCGATAAGGCATCCCCGATGTCATTGTTGGGCGGTGAGAACGCGTGCTCCAGGTGACGTCCACACACCAATGCCACGGTTGCTGCCCATCACAGTCCGCATGGCATGATGCATGCATGCACATTGACATAAGCACATGCAAACATCAACGCATGCATGCATGCATGTGCAACCATAAACACATACACACACATACACACAGACACACATACGTGCACACGCACACAAGATCCAAATGGGGAGAGGGAGCAGCAGAAGAGATGAAGACGCCTGCCCAGCATGTGGTGTGGTGTGGTGTGGTGTGGTGTGGTGTGGAGGTGAGCATGAGATAAAGTGAAAGCAGGGGAGAAAGTAGGACACAGACTATGAAAGATAGATGAGTCCCAGGTGGTCACAACCTTACACAATAAGCAGCCACAACAATAAGCACGAAGAACAGTAAGCAGCACAGGCAATACTCAACGCGACAGGCTTTTATGCGCTTCTCCCCCCACCTCTTGAGCAGCTTCTGGCCGCCCTTGACGGCCATCATGGTGACCAGGTCCGTTGCCGCCTCCACCACCCTGCTGCCGTCCGTGCGCCTCTCTGGCAGGGCTGACAGCGGGCGCGCTGCGAGGCATTGATGCCGTTGCAGGCAAGGGAGAGAGGGTGGGGAGAGGGGGGGAGGGGAATTGAAGAATGCAAGGAGACTCAGTGTGTGGCTGCCTCCACCACCCTGCTGCCATCCGTGCGCCGCTCGGGCAGGGCCGACAGGGGGCGCGCTGCACGACAGTCATGCGGTTGCAGGCGGTGGGGGGAGAGGGGGGGGGGGGGGGGGGGCATTAAGGTGCGAGAAGGGAATCAGCCCGTATAGGCAACTCCCTACCCTGCTGCCATCCGTGCGCAGCTCAGGAGGGCCACTGCGGAGCAGAAAAGGACAGGTGGGGGAAGCGGAGACGAGAGGAGGGAGGGGCGGGGGCAGACAGGGAGTGCGACGAGGGAAAGGGAGTGAAGGTAACAGTGGAAAAACAGATGACCGATGCAAATGCTTCGGTCGCAATGTGGAACGAAAGCGAGAGATGGAAATGAGTGGAGAAGAGCTTGACCAGCTGTGCCAAATGAACCGGGACAACTCACAGCTAGACTCAACCAGCAGGCATCCACCCCATCATCCTCCCATGCTAAGAGAACCATGCGACACAAGTGGCAGTGACAGCAGCGAGAACTCACCAAGTTTGAAGCAGAAGTGGTTGCAGGCGGCGCAGCGGTAGAGCACGCGGGAGAGGTCCGCCTCTGCCTTGCGCTGCCGCTCCTCCACTCGCTGCCTCATGCTCCACCCCCCCTTCTCCTCCCCGTCGTCCTGCCGGGGAAAGGGGGGGTATGGTATAGCAGTTGAGAGGGACGAAAGTGGTGGGCAGGGGCAGAGGGTGGAAGGGGCAGACGGAGCTGAATGCGCCTGTTAATTGGATGACGGGAAGGGTGGGTCGTTATACCTTGTCATAGCTGACGAGAAGCCCGTCGTGGTGCGGCTTAAACTTGTGCCCGTTCGTCTTCCACATGGCTGCTGTCGCCTGCCGGGCCAAGCATGCGAGGCGGTGGGGAAGGGACGGGAGGCATGTGTGAGAGGCGAGATGAGGGAAGAATGGGAAGTTGCCCGCTGGCCTTCCACATGGAAACTTTTGCCTGGTGGTTGAAGTGCCGCGAGAAGAGATGGATGGGGAGGTGGTGGTTGGGGTGGGCAGGTGCAGCGGCCAGCGTCCCACTCACATGCTACCGGCCAGCGTCCCACTCACATGCTACCGGCCAGCGTCCCACTCACATGCTGCTTCTCGTCAAAGTCAACGAAGCACATGCTGCGCACCTGCACACCACACACAGTGCCCAGTTATAGTGAGCGCAAGTGACGTACAAAACATGTTACGGTACACTCATGGCAGCGACTGTATGAGTTGCTTGGAATAGATGGGTGCGTCAGATGCATTACGGGTTCACTGAGGTGTGAAACACATGAGGATACAAAAGCAGGATTCAACAGCAAGCGACTCGTTGAAAACAAGCATCAGCACCGGCAGCCACAGCAGCGACAGCAGCAGCGGCGGCGGCAGCAGCAGCAGCAGCAGCAGCATGGCATCTCACCCGACGAAAAGCAATAAAGCCCTCCAGATGGCGAAAGAGCTGTGCGACGAGAGTGAGACCACATGCACAGGCGAGGGGGAGACACGGACGGGTGGTGGGGGTTGGAGGAAGGGGGATAGGAGACGGAAGAGCGGGAGGAGGGTAAGAGAGGGAAGAGAGGAGAGTAGTGTGACTGACTTGCACATCATCTCACAGCACCTACACCAGTGTGCGTGAACGGTGCCGGGTTGGCATGCGGTAGTGTGTGATACAAGCGTGCAGTGTGGGCTGGCGCAGGGCACAGCATTAGCTACAGCTCAGCCGGCACAAGGAAAGGGACACACGTGTACCGAATGTCGCTCCCTTGATTGCTCGCGCGCACCACTCTCGCACACACAGTCCGTCGGTCAGGCAGAGTCAAGAAACGGTTCGACAATTTGATATGAAGAACCGCGCGATCTCGCGGCCAGTAGGTAATCGATTTCCTGGCCACAAGCGTTCCCGTGCAGTTCACACAAACACGCTGAACGCTACAGGAGCGGGAAATATAAAAATATTCCCGCAACGTCCCGGCGTTGATCCCGCGGCGCTTTCTCACCCCTTCGAGCTGCTCCGTGGAGGCGCCGGGCGGCACGTTGGTGATGTAGAGCGTGCGCGACGGGTTCACCCACGTCTTCTCCTTGAACGTGCTCTTCTTCCCCTTTATCCCCGCCACGCGCGCCGCCTCCTCCGACAGCCCGCCAAAGTTGGTGCTCGCGCCGCTCATGGCTGCAGAAGTCGTGTTCGCGATGAGGGATGCTTCGGATGGCGCTGAGGGGCTCACTGGCGCACGCCGAGTATGACAATCATGCATACGCAACGACCCTTGTGTCGAGTGCAGGGACTGACTGTGCTGGTGTGAGGGCTTCGCTGTTTCCGTGTTGCGTTGCGGTGCTGCACGGTAACTCGGTTCGAAACTAGCTGGTGGGTTATCTGTTATAATCTCACGAACTTCCTGAGAACATTCTACTTAGGGTTGCAAACTACAATCTTCTGGTGAGGACATTCTTCCTAATTCTTGAGTTGGAAACTACATTCTGTGAAAGAGATGTACGGTACGATCACAAGACGGAAACAGCTGTCGTGTGCTGTCGAGAGAATTCCGACAGCTTTTTCGGGAATTCCCTAAACCCAGCCAATTTATCACAGGAATTCTCTCAACCAAGACTTGCGGAGCTGTCGTGTCTGCTGCACTGTAGTGTGCCCTGGGCACTTGCAAATTGGCTAGAGGCGCGTGCTTGCTTTGGGCTGTCAGATATTGAACGCGAGCCAACAATTCCGAAGCAGCCATTCAGACTTGGGTTCACACATTGTTTGCCAGAAAGTATTTCAGCCACGACAAGGGTTTGGGTTCACACATCATTTTTTGGCGTGAGGAATTTATTGCTATCTGGGGCTCGGTGGGTATCCTGAAGTGGCCCAGCTAGTTAGCTGATTCACTTCCGAAAGATGAGGTCCCGGGATCAAATCCCCCCAGTCCCCACTAAAAGGGATGTCGGTGTTGCTGTTTCAAGCGCAGGTGTATCCGCCACCGGTAGACTTCTGAACGAGGATTCGGAGGATATGTCACAATTTCGTCTCTGGGGGGAAGGCGTCACTGGATCGCCGGTTTGTCCTCTGGAGCTACGACCTGACATGCAGAAGGAGAGACGGGGGGCTGGGAGTGATTAACCCGAGAGACTGGATCGACAGTATGGCGCTGCAGTGCTTAAGTAAAGCCATTGCGGAAATAAGTGATATAAAGCGATGGATGACGGAACAAGCAGCGTCGATGCCGCTGGGCTGGGCGACTATGTGGGCGCACAAGGATATAGCCAAGCAATGGAAAGGAGGAGGGGAAAGGTGGAAGGCGTTTCTGCAGATCCTTTGGAAGAGGAAGATCCAGTTGTTCGGGGAACCGGAATCGAGATGGGAGGTGGAGCAAGAGCACTTGTGGTTCAATAACCGAATCATGTTCAGAGGAAGAAGCCCGTCCGACGCACAACGTGGGTCGGAGTGTCTGAAGGGGATGCGGCTTGGAGACCTGCTCATCACAAATCCAGACGGGACGATGGTGGTGAAAGACATTAAGAGGCTCAGCAGAGAGATGGGGGGCAAAACTCTGGCTAGATGGGCGCTCAAAGCTTTCCAGGCAGCACCGGCAGAATGGCGCGATCGACTGCTAGCCAAACGGACAGCGAAGGAGATAGCCGAAGCAACGAACCTAATATGCATCGGCGCTGACAGAGCGAAGCGGAAGAACTACAGGAGAATCCTGAAGGTAGATGAGGAGAGGTTGGTGGTGAAGCGTGTGGAGGTGGTGCGGGGGCAAATTATCCCGGCGCCATATGCCAGTCCTTTTGCTGTCAGAGTGGCATGGGCTACGCCGATCAAAGAAGTGGATGGGAGAGTGCTGGGGCCGCTTGGTCACCATCTTACCAGACTGCGGGAGTCGGCGCTCTGCAAAGGAGGAGAACTGATACCACTGAAAACCCTAAGGAAAGCGACTGGGGTGCCAGCCGAGAAACCGAAGCAGCAGGTTAGCTGGGAGGAGGAATACGGAGGGGCAGTCAACTGGGCGAAAGCCATCACCGCACGTGACTCGATGGTGGTTCCCTCCAGGGCAAGAGAGGTGCTCCTTCGCCTCCACAGCAGGAATCTGCAAGTGGGGGTAAGGCTTCCCTTCCTGGGTGACCTGGCACGCTGCCCTCACTGTGGAGCTGACGAGACAGTGGACCACTGCCTGATGACATGCCAGGAGGTGGGAGGAGTTGTCGGGAAGCTTCAGGCGGCGCTGAAAATGTTTGGGGCCAAGGAGGAAGCGAAAAGCGTGGGGGACCTACTTTTCCGTGACACCAGCACGAAGTCAAGTTTTCCAGAGTTAACGCTGGTTGCAATCACTGTTCATCAGCTATGGCTGGAGAGATGTGGGGCGGTATGTCAGAATCCCAGTCACTAGACCATTGGGATAGAAGGGCTTGTTTGTGTAGCGGGTTTGTGCGCCCATAACCCCCCAGGCGAACGCGCCTGTAACCCCCCGTAGGATCAATCGGGCATCCACAGTGCAGATCTATTGACACCCCCCCACACTGGGAGGCCCAGGACTGAGCACAGCGGCAACAGCCTACATATGCATACACCGGGATTCGAACCCGAGACCGCTATGATACCATGTCAGAATCCCAGTCACTAGACCACTGGGATAAAAGGGCTTGTTTGTGTAGCGGGTTTGTGCGCCCATAACCCCCCAGGCGAACGCGCCTGTAACCCCCCGTAGGATCAATCGGGCATCCACAGTGCAGATCTACTGACACGGTCTTCAGGCAGGACATGTTTCAGTACAAAAGGGTGATCAGGAAAACAGTGGCGAATTTCGTCCGGCATGTGAGAGTCTACAGTAAGTGGAAGAGCAAGCAACAACACAGGACAAACGTGGCATGCGGGGGTGATTGGGGGCACCTGGCGCAGGACGAGGCACGAGCCCTCAGAAATGTCTTCATTGGAGAGAAGGAGTTGACGTGGAAGGAAGACTTCCGTTCGATCTGGGAAGATCCGCGTTCTCGTTTTAAACCACCATAAAAGGATGTGATGGGGGAATAACTGCTAGACGCGTTAGTAGTTAGGTCCTCCATGGAAACAATTACGACTGTGGTTGTATGCTTATATAGTGTACTTCCAAAAAAAAAAAAAAAAAAAAAAATGACTACACAGGTGCTCATCTGGGAGTGGATAGACAACCTCGTTACCCAGCGAGGCGTGTAAACACATGGGGTAATACCAAAGGGGGTTTCCCCTATAACCTTTACCTTACCCGGGGCTCGGTGGGTCAATGGCGATTGCAAATGTGCTGTCACCTACCCCCAATCCTACCCCGATCATGCGATCGGTGTGCCCGATCGGAATATCTTAGCGGAAACGGGTCGTCAAGCCCGACGACCTGTTGACGACTTGACGACATGCTGCCCCGGGCAGAAAAAAACTAAACCCCTATCGGATGGCATGCCATCCGAGGGAGGCATCAACCCTAAATCCATGCCTCCCTGTGTTTAGGGTTGATGCCTCCCTGACCAGATGCATGCCCGAATGGGTTTTATTTTTTTTTGCCCACGGGCAGCGAGCTCCCCCGGGCGGACTCGCTTGTCCGCTGAGATATATTCGTCGGTAAATGGCAGCGATCTTGCGATCGATCGATCGAGGGAGGGGACGCGCCCTAAGCAAGGGGATGGGCATGACATTCTGGGGCAGTTGAAAAGAATTGTTGGGTTCCGTTCGGTGCGACGGCGGGACTTCTGAATTCGAGCCGTTTTCAATCATACCTCCAAACAAAGTGGGCCGAGCCAAGTCACACCGAATCCAAGCCACACCACACCACACCAATAGGAAACGTGCCCAACGTTTTCGCTTATGGGAGCGCCCGCAATACCAGCGGAAGCGCGTTTGTTCAAGCAAATCGCCTGGCTGGGTATGTGTGCGAGCCAAGGCCTTGTCGACTCGTCGATTGCTGGTTACTTCCTTCGCATTGGTGGTAAACGTCGCCAGCTTCCACGCGGAAGTTATATTGAATCTCTAGGCGCGCTTGACGGCGCGCACTAAAAAAGGAAAATATTTCAACAATGCAACCGCCTGTTTGCACCTTCGTTGTTCCAGCCAGGAACAGTTACCGCCTCCAGCCAGCCCATCACCCACCCAGAGCAACCCAGCCTGTTGTCTGGTTCTTCGGCCATCGCCAACGTTACTCACGGAATCGCCGGTGACTGCGGCAAGAAGAGCAGCAAACATCACTCACAACACGCCTCCCCCTCGGAAGCTAGGCCGCAGCTCGACCCTACGAAATTTGTATGAGGACTTTGCCAACTATAAATGGCCATTTTGAGACAACATCGGTCATGTAGATTAGATTCACGAGTTCAACTAGATTCGCTAAGTTTGCGAGGGCTCACACTTTGTCATGCAGGATCGCTTGTAGCGCCGCCACTCTTGCTGTATTTCCGGCTTCTGACATAGCTCGTTTCCCGTCCAACCCCTGCTTTTTAGGCCTACCTGCTCTCGCGCAGAACGAAATATACCCATTCCTCGTACAAACAGTCTCGATGATAGCTTTTGTAGAAGCAGCTCTCGCGAGGACCGTAATGCACTGTCGGCGGCATCAAAGTGACGTGGTGAGTGCTCTCTCCCAGCCATGGCGGCCGAGCACGTCAACTCATTCCGATGTCCCTCCGCTACTGTCACATCCAGCCCTGTGCTCCCGTTCCCGCCCATTCCCTTCCTCATACCTGCTCCGGCTCTCCCTGTCACTCCACTCCCTCACTCCCAAACTCCCCTGCCATCTCCCTCTCACCCAGCACCCGCATCGCGCCGAAATGTCGGGCTCCTCGCCACGGCTCGCGGTCGCACTGCTGCTGCTGATCTGCGCGGTGCCCGCTCCTCCCACCGCCAACGGTACGCTGCACTCTAGCCGCCGCCCGCTCTAACGCTTCCCGCGTAGCCCACTTGCCCATCCGCCCGGCATGGGGTCTCTCTCCGCTTCTCTCGCTTCTGGTTTCAACCTCGTTTTGCCTCTGCTCCACCCATTCCCGCGCCCCCTTCCGCCTTTCCCCAATCCCTCAGCGCAATGGACGTATCTTCCCCGCATATCTTGCGGCGCATGGCTGCCGCGCTCATTCGGCTTCGCTTCCCGCCGCGTCGATCCCGCCGACGCCGACGCCGGCGCGCAACCGCTGTTCCCGCACGCGCAGTCCAAGCTGACGTCATCACTCTCCCTCCGCCCCTGGATGTTCTCCTTCGCCCACTCGCGCTCCTTTCTCCGCACCGCCTCCCGCGCGCCGCCCCCGCCAGCGCCAGATACGCGGGATGCGCCCACCTTTTCCACGCTCACGCTAGAGCGCGACCAGCCGCCCAAACCGCCCAAGTCGCCCAAATCCCCAAAGCCGCCCAAGTCCCCCAAGCCCCCGTCTCCCCCGAAGCCAGGAAAGTCCCCCAAGCTCCCCCCGTCCCCTCCGCCCACCCCTCTTCCGCCGCCGTCGGAGTGGCCATCCACGTACGCGGGCGTCGCGCCGCTCGCGACGGACCCACCGGAAACGCCGCTCTTCGATGTGAAGGAGGGGTTTGGGGCGGTGGGTGACAACGCTACCGACTCGTGGGCCGCGTTCGACGGCGCGTTCCGCGCTGCGTGTGAGAGCGCGAGGGGGAGCGGCGGGCGTGCGATAGTGCGCGTGGGGGAGGGCGCGTTCTTCCTGGCGAAGTCCATCACCGTCAACGGGTCGTGCGGCGCTGGCCTCACGCTGCAGGTACCGCTGTCCTGCTCCCCCGATCTCCTGCTCTCACGCTCCGCCGATCCCCCGCTCTCTCGCTCCCCCGATCCCCCGCGCCCTCCCTTTCCCGCTCCCACGCTTCCCCTGCCCCTATTCCCCCGCTCCCTCGCTCTCTGGCGCCTCCGCTCTCCACTCTCATCGCGCCAAGCGCCCTTGACGACCCACTCACTCTCCAGGCTGCCCCTCACCCCGTGACCTCCATCCTCCTGCATTGCCCCTCACCCACCATCATGTCGCCCCCTTTTTACTCCCCTCCCACTTGCCCCAAACTTCTCCCGTTCCCAGGTGGACGGCACCATCTACGGGCCGCTCTCCAAGGACGGCTACCCCACGCCCTCACTCTACCTGAACGGCACTATCATTGGTGTCGCCAGCAACGGGCTGTTTCAGTTCCAAGGCATGAAGGGACTGGTGCTGCGCGGGGAGGGGGCGATTGACGGCAACGGGAGGAAGTTCTGGGGGTCCAAGGCGCCCACGCGGCCACACATCATTGTGCTCATCGACTGCCAGTACACCACCATCGATGGGCTGCTGCTGCGGTATTTGTGTATGTATGTGTGCGATTTGCTGTGGCATGCCACCCTCTCCTGCTGCCACCTGTGCGCGCTACTCTCCCTTGCCCTTCCCCCAATCCCCCCTCACCCCTCGCCTCCCCTCGCCCTCGTTCCCCCTTCCCACGCCCCTTCTTCCCCCCTCCAGCAACCCGCCGATGTACCACGTGTTTGGGTACGGCACGGAGGGGCTGTGGATCCGCGGGGTGACGACCAACAGCCCCGAGACGTCCCCCAACACGGACTCGCTCAAGCTGATCGGTGTGCGCCACGCTGTCATCGAGAACTGCACCTTCCACGGGGGGGATGATGACGTGTCACTCGTTGCCAGGGGCGCTCAGAGCGTGGTGAACGTGACGGTCAGGAACCTCATTGCCACGGCCGGGCACGGCATCAGGTGAGCTTTCCGAGTGGGCTCACATAGCACCAGGGGTGTGGAAAGCCTGGTCCAGGCACTCCCCCCTCCACTCTCACTCCCATTCCTTCTCCCTTCCTCTGCCCGTACTGCGCTCTCCCCTTGCAGCATTGGAAGCCTGGGCGCTGGAGGGGCAGTGGCGTGTGTGTCTGATGTGACCTTTAAGGACCTCATAATATCTAACCTCGATAATGGGCTGCGCATCAAGACATGGCAGGGTGGCCTGGGGATGGTGCGCAATGTGCGATACGAGAATGTGTACATGACCAACACTGACAACGCCATCACACTCAACCAGGTGAGACCATGCTTGCTGTGTGCAGCAGCAACTGCAGCAACAGCTGCAGCAGCACCTTTGGAAGGCTTAGTACCATCTATATGATTCTTCTTTGTTGTGCTGTCTCCCTGCCACAGTTCTACTGCGACTCGCACCAGGACTTCTTCTGCGGCATAGCGCCTGACAACGTGGCACTGGTCAACATTACATACTCCAATGTCTATGGCACCACCTCACGGTGAGAGATGCCGCACACACCTTGCCCCACAATGGAAATGCCGACTTGAAGGTCCACCGCTTGATGTCATGTTCCAAACTTGCCATGTACTCGTGTAAAAACGGTGTGAGTATGTTATAACTGTGTGTTGTATGTGTCCGGGTGCAGGTATGGAATGAACATCCGATGCAGTGCGACGGTCCCCTGTGGCGGCATCAAGCTCAACAACGTCAACCTTGTCTCCTCCAAGGGAAGCTCTCTCCGCCCCGTGCTGCTGAATGTGGTCAACAGCCAGGCCACAGGGGTGGTGGCGCCGTTACCGCAAGGCATGGGGTCGTATGCAGGTTGGGGTTCCACCCCACCAACTGCAGCACAAGCTGCAAGTATACAAAAGATGATGGCACAATGTGGGAGCTGATTGCTAGTATCAACCCTGTATTATGCGCAAAGCTTTCCAATATCACAAAATAGGTCTGAACGTTCAGTTCAGAGAGCATTGTTGGGATGGGACTCAGGGCGTGTCCCAAGAAACTCGATTTTAATCATCAGCACTTTACTGCAGTGTTTGTGCATCGCATTTTGTGATGCTTTCTACACGTGCCAAAGAATACCACATTTCCTTTTGCACACAATCATAAGCGAATCGTTGAAAAGAAGCGAACATATCAGTTGCTCTTCGGTGCACACCATTTTCCAGAGACAAATTCACTACTGATGAGTTCAAGGCCCTGCCCTCAGCATTGTCGTTTGCGTCACGGCAAATTCGATGTTCCGCGCAACAGCCTGTTCCACTTTACTAGCCTCGCGAGTTAACTTTGCCACCAGGCACCAGCGAGACGGAGGTGGAGGTTAGCGATGGCGTCAGGACCAGAGGACGTAGGCAGGTCGATGATGCCGTTCCTGCAGCGCGCCGATGAGCTGCAGAAGCACGACCCGCTCGTCGCCTACTACTGTGAGAACTCCATTTCAGTGGACTCTAGGCGTGATTCTATCGTACCCCGCGGTGCAGGCATGGGGTGCGACGCTGTCGCTAGACTCGCAACGGGGTTGCAACGTGCGGTTTCTAGGGCGAGTAATATTTGATTCGTGGGGTTCAATGCCAGGACTCAGAAGAAGCAAATGAAAAGAGTGGCGTCGTTTCTTATTTTTCGCAAAGTACAGATTCGTTGCTCGTACGTGAGTGGTGGAAGGGGTTGGTGGGAGGATTTCAATCGCAACTAGGGGAATCAAGGACGAGTTGACGTGGCGCATGATTCGGTGTGCATGGATGGGTGGCATGGGCATGTGTGCATGGGCATGTGGGCATGGGGCATGGCCATGGGCATGGGGCATGGGGCATGGGGCATGGGGCATGGGGCATGAAGCATGGGGCATGGGGCATGGGGCATGGGGCATGGGGCATGGGGTATGGGGTATGGGGCATGGGTGGGGGAGCAGGTCGGCTGTACGCGACGGACAAGGGGCTGAAAGTGTCGAGCAAGGAGAGGGGCAAGGACACCAACGACCTGCTGCTCTCGCTGCTCTCCCGCCTCGAGAAGGTTGGTGTCATGCCGGGTCGCAGGACGATTGTTGCCATGCAATGAGGGTATAGCACACGTTCACCATGGCTATGCGTGTTTGATTCTGTCCGTCTCCCCATGCACGGAATCATGCAATGTAGGAAGTGCTCCACCTCCTGCTATCCCCACCCTCGCTCGCACAGCCCTGTAGTTCGGACCCTCCACTGCCGCTCGTCCTCACACCTCCCGTCTTTCTCCCCCGCATCTCTTGCCCACCCATTTCCCCCCTTCGCACATGTGCCCCTCGCACGCCCTTACCCCTCCCCTGGGCAGGACAAGGCGGAGGTGCAGCTGAGCCCCGAGGACAGCCTGCACGTGGAGGGCTTTGCAGAGCGCGTCTTTGCCAAGGCGGACAAGCAGGACCGCGCGGGCCAGGCCGACATGTACGCCTCTCTACCCTCGCTCGCTCCAAGCCTGTGTATCCTTGTGTGCGCCTTTCTTTGCATCTCCTATACCTTCCACCACCTCTCATTTCCCCTTTCTTCCCCCTCTTCCACCCCCCTCTCCGGCTCCCCCTCACAACCCCCCTCCCCATCGCTGTTGCCCCTCAACCCATCAGCTCGACAGCCAAGACGTTCTATGCGGCGGGGCTGTTCTTCGACGTCATGCGCCAGTTCGGCGAGCTGCCTCCTGACGTGCGCATCCCCTGCCATCGCACTGCTCTTTGCCACGCCACTGCTGTATTGCTGTAGTACAGCTTAAGCTCATATAACCGCTCATGCCGCATGTGGTGATTCTTGCTCTTCCTCCCATCCCCCTTCCTCTCATTCCAAAGGGCATCCTCCCCACTCCTTCCGTTCCCCATTCCATCCAACCCCCTCTTCCCACGCCGTCCTCCCCTCCTTCCTTCCTCCCTACCCCCTCCGTGCACTCTCCATTCCCCCGTCCCCACTCCAACCCCCCCCGTGGGCAGGTGGAGCAGAAGCAGCGGTATGCGGCATGGAAGGCAGCGGACATTCGTAGGGCATTGGCAGAGGGTCGTCAGCCCACGCCCGGCCCGCCCCCTGCTGACTCTGCTGGTGCTGCAGCCCTGCTCTCCGCACCTGCTGGCGCCTCTCCCACTGCCCCTGCTGCTGCCCCGGATAGTGCTGGCGGGGCTGGTAATGCAGGCCAGGTGAGGAGATGGGGGAGAAGGAGGCCAGGTGAGGAGATGGGGGAGAAGGAGGCCAGGTGAGGAGATGGGGGAGAAGGAGGCCAGGTGAGGAGATGGGGGAGAAGGAGGACAGGTGAGGAGATGGGGGAGAAGGAGGCCAGGTGAGGAGATGGGGGAGAAGGAGGCCAGATGAGGAGATGGGGTTCTGTGTGATGCTTTTCATGGGTTCTGCTTTGTGTGTGTCATGCTTTTCATGGGTGTGTGATGCTTTTCATGGGTGTGGGATGCTTTTCATGGGTGTGTGATGCTTTTCATGGGTTTTTCTTTGCGTGTGTGATGCCTTTCATGGGTTCTGCTTTGCACATGTGATGCAGTTTGCTGGGTATCACTTCTTCGCTTATTCTATCTGTGTGCCATGCAGCACGTTCTCTGCACACATCATCCTCGTTCACACCACCCTGTCACATACCCTACTCCATGCACACCCCTCTCCCCCCCAGCAGCACGACATCCTGGGTTTGCCCGTGCCACCCTCTGTGCAGCCTCTGCGCCCTGACCACAGCGGAGCAGCGCCAGGGGGGGGTGGGGCCACAGCAGCAGGGGGAGGGGGAGGTGTGGGGGGAGGATGGGCACAGGGCGGCGGCCAGCAGGGGCCAGGGGTGGGGCGACCCCATGGGGGCGGTGCTGGTGAGCTCGCTGCCCCCAAGGGCTGCCTCACTGCCCTTTTGTGCCACCATGCTCTCCCTGCTCTTGCATCCATCTTGAGATTCTCCCAGTCACTCAATTTACTGCACTTATTCTTTTTGCTCGTAGTTCCCCCCTCTCTCAACCTTCACGCGTTGACATGCGCATCCTCGCTTCTCTCCCCCATTGCGACATGCTCGTTGTTCCAGCGACAACATCGTCCATCGGCCCTGCAGGCATGGGCGCACCAAGAGCAGCAGCGGCTGCCCCGTCGTCCTTCTCAGCCCCCCTGCCTGCTGCATCACAGCCCACTGCCACTGCCACCGCAGGCACTGCTGCAGGCACAGCCACAGGCACTAGCACAGGCTCGACCCAAGGCACGGGCACGGGCACGGGCACGGGCACGGGCACGGGCACGGGCACGGGCATGGGAATGGGCGGGCAGGCTCCCCCAGCGGGCAAGGTGGGGGACGCCCACCGCGCTGCACGCTTTGCTGTGAGTGCACTGGCCTTCGACGACGTCCCCGCTGCTTTAGACTACCTCAAACAGGCCCTGCGGTTGCTGGACGGGATGTAACAAGGGTTCTGGAAATTTTATATTTTTTTAAAGACAGTGTTTTTTAAAATTGTGTATTGTGAAAGCGAAGCTGCTTGTATTGCACAATTGGCATCGTCGAAGCACGCTAAACGCCCTTCTCCAACTACAAAAACCGTGGGTTGGAGCTCATTTCCCTCCACCCACGTTTCTCTATTTTCAAACGGCTCACTCAACATTTCCGCTCACGTAGTTTATCCCCCCGTCCAAGCTGGCTAGGACAAAATCGCTTCCTAGAGGCGAGTCACCCTCGACTTTACTCAGCGACATTTTTAACTTCAAGCGAACGGGCAGAAGATGGACCGCCCGCCCCGACTGCAGTGGACGTGCTGCTGGGCGGGCTCGAGGTCAGCAAAGCGGCCGACGCCCAGCAGCACTCTTCGGCGCCTGTGGCGCCAGTGGCACCTGCGGCGCAAGTGGCGACGGCTGCTGGCGCGGCACACGCCACCGACGTCGAGCATACGCCAGCACCCGCGGCTGGACTGTCGCGTCAGCGCCAGAGGAGGCGGACGGCGGTCTCCTCGTCTGACGCGACGACCGCCCCTGCGTTGACGCAAGCGTTGACCCCGGACCAGGTCAACGCGCTGCTATCCCTTCTACAGCAGCAGCCCGTCAGCGTTACAGCCGCGGAAACTGCACTACCCGCTGCATCTGCGTCGGCTAAAAAAGAAAATGCGAAAAGAGAAAAAGGCACGTGAGGAGCAAGGACGAATCGGCACGACAACGACGCAACGACAGCAGCGCCCCCTGCTCCAGCGGCCGACAACGACACCGGCGAATCTGAAGATGAAGCCGGTGAGGCTCCAGTAAAAAATGTTAATTTTAATGGCACGGAACACCTTCCCCCCCTCCCTTCTTCTAACCTCACATTTTCGGCGGCGACATTCGTCAACGATTCCGTGCGAGAGCAAGCGGAGCTGCTGGAGGACTTGCGCGCGTACCTGCTGCACGCGGAATACAAGGCGCAGCGCGGGGACCCGGCGAGCGGACTAGAACTCATCTCGCACGCTCTCAACCTCATCTCGGGGCGTTTCGAGGTGCTTCAAGTGGAGGACGCCTCCGACTTCCGCACGGCGAAGCGCTTCAAGTTGTACCAGCAGAAGAGCCTGCTGATTTCTCGACCCTTCAAGCAGGCGGTCGCGGACATGGCGGCGATGGACCGGGTGGCAAGCGGATACGCTCGTGTCAACCGCGGCGGAAACAACGCGCCGATGCCGTTCTTAACCAAGCAAGGCCCCCCGCCCACTGCCAATTGCCGTGGGTTTCGGGGCTCGTGCTTCTGCTGCGGCCAGCCAGGCCACGTGGCAAGTGCTTGCCCTAGGAACGGGCATGGCGGCCAAGGACCCGCTCCGGTGGTGTAGGAGCGGGCCATGGGACTAGGCGCTTGCGCGCTAGGCACGGTGCACTCTTGAGTGCGAAAACTGTGGGCAACCCTAGGGGTTTGCGATGGCAAGAGGCCAGCCCTAATGAAGGGTAGGAATAGGCTTTGGGCCTAGGATAGGGAAGGGGAACAACAACCCCCTCGGTCCCATGTAGTTGGCCACTCGGTGGCGTGATGCATGCTAGGAAAGCATTGCTATGTGTGTTGGTTGATTAAAAATAAATAAATAAAAAATCCTTCTCAAAAGCCCACTGACTTTGGCAAAGTGCCTCTAAAATAATCAAGAGGAGGTGCATAGCAAGAGAAAAAGAGAGAGAGAGAGAGAGAGAGAGAGAGAGAGAGAGAGAGAGAGAGAGAGAGAGAGAGAGAGAGAGAGAGAGAGAGAGAGAGAGAGAGAACGAGAGATAACAAGATCAAGCACGATGGATAAGTGTGTCCATGCTCCTAGGCATCAACCTCCATGCTCGAAGGGCAGGTCCTATCGATTGGACGAGGAGGCGAGGCAAAAAAAAAAAAACAAAAAAAAAGGCCAGCCAAGGAGTTATATGGGAAGCAAAAAAAAAAAAAAAAAAAAAAAAAAAAACCAAGGGTGTGACAACCACTCACTTATCATGAGCACGCAACCCACGGTGCGTTACAAAAAAAAAAAAAAAAAAAAAAAAAGAGGAGGTTTTTTGCGAGGAGAGAAACAAGAAGCGCAGGCGCGTACCCGACATACTCGTTGACATTTCGATAGATTGTCGATGTTGTTCACATCTTCATAAATGGTTGCTCGTACATGCACACGGATGCTTTGAAATGAAACACCCAACGATCACCCCATTTTGCCTCCACTACACAGGAGCACGACGGCGCGAGGTGGTATGCTACGACGATCCGTATGAATTCGCCGTTACGGACAAAACTATTACACAGATGCGAGGTCGGCTTCGTGCGACCTTTGCGTGGTGGAGTTCATGGTGACCCTGCAGCCTTGTTCTCTCCGTCATCGCCAAAAGCTACTGGTTGCCATGGAGCCACGGCCCACCACAGCCCTTCCACGATCGCAACCATGTCGGGGCAAACACGCATGCCACGTTCACACGTACCGCCATCCAAGAACTCATAGAGACCGGAGCAGCAGTCCCGATGCCCGCAACGGAGCTTACGTGCATAATTCCACTAAACGTGGTCGAGCAAAGAGACAAATGCAGACTCATTCTTCACCTGAGGAAAGTCAACGCCAACTTGATTGTCCCCAAGTTCAAGTACGAGGGGCTCAGCCGTGTGGCGGACCTGGCACGCGTTGGGGACTGGATGCTCTCCATCGACCTTAAGTCTGGATACCACCACATCGACATCCACCCATCATGCTGGAAGTTCCTTGGCTTCGAATTCGACAAGCGCACATATGCATTCCGTTCACTGCCATTTGGCCTCGCGACAGCTCCATTCGTTTTCACGCAGCTGATCAAACAGCTAGCTCGGCGTTGGCGAGAACAAGGCATGGGAGTCATACCTTACGTGGACGACATTTTATTTCTATGCCAGTCGAAAGCCCATGCGCAAGCAATCTGCCAGCGGGTGATATTGGACCTTAAAGAGGCAGGACTTGTGATAAACGCGAAGAAATCGCAGCTGTCATCATCACAACGCCTCCGATTCTTGGGTGTAGAACTTGAGACAGACACCGGCCGATTCTCCATCGGTCCCGACCGACGAGCCTCGCTACATTCAACCATCCAGAACCTCCTGAGCACAAGCAATGCGTGCCGACCAGTCCCGGTCCGCCACGTGGTCAGAATCACAGGCATGCTCGCATCAATGGGTGTCGCACTCGGCGCGACCGCTCGTGCATTCAGCCACTGTCAAACTTAAATGCTATAGTCTATCTAGGCTGTAGTGGGGTAGTTCATATAGGGTACAACACTTTTAGGTTTCCTACTTGTACCCACCTGCTTGCTAGTTCAGTCATTCACTCGTTCACTATTCTAACATGGTATTCTGAGCAGGTTGCCTAGTGGGAACGTTTTTTTTAGGGCCCACCACGAAATTTTTCCTGCCTTGCCCAAAGCGCGCCTCGCGCCCTGCCCGAAGCGCGCCTCGCGCCCTGCCCTAGTACGGCCCGTCGCGGCCCTGCCTTCGCTGGCCCGTCGCGACCCTGCCTTCGCTGGCCCATCGCGGCCCTGCCTTAGCCGCCCATCGCTGGCCCGTCGCCGCCCGTCGCTGGCCCGTCGCCACGCGTCGCAGCCCTGCCTTAGCTGCCCACTGCGGCCCTGTCCTGCCTTTCGCCGCCCGTCGCTGGCCAGTCCCGGCCCGACCCGGCCCGTTGCCGGTCCGTCCCGGCCCGTTGCCGCCCGTCGCCGGCCCGTCGCCGCCCGTCGCTGGCCCATCCCAGTCGCGGCCCTGCCTTCGCCGCCCGTCGCGGCCTCTGCCCTGCAGCCGCCCTGTCGCGGCCTCTGCCCTGCAGCCGCCCTGTCGCGGCCCTGCACTGCTGCCGCCCCGGTCGCGGCCCTGCCCTGCAGCCGCCCCTGTCGCGGCCCTGTCCTGCTGCCGCCCCAGTCGCGGCCCTGCCTTAGCCGCCCGTTGCGGCCCTGCCCTATTGCCGCCCCAGTCGCGGCCTCTGCCCTGCAGCCGCCCTGTCGCGGCCCTGCCCTACTGCCGCCCCAGTCGCGGCTCTTCCCTGCAGCCGCCCCTGTCGCGGCCCTGCCCTGCTGCCGCCCCGGTCGCGGCCCTGACCTAAACCGCCAGCTGCGGCCCTGCCCTGCACCCGCCCCTGGTAAGCACCCGCGCCGCCCTGCCGCGCCGTGCCGCCTGCTACCGTGCCGCACCGCCAGGAACCAAGCCGCGCCGCCCTGCCGAGCCGCGCTGCCCTTCTGCTTGCACTGCTTTTGCTGCCACTGCTGCTACTGCTGCTACTGCTACTATGGCTAGCCCTACTGTTCTCACCTTTGATGCTGAGGGGCGTGCTGTTGACTTTGACGTGTGGATTGACGACTTGCAGCTCTTTCTTCAGTGTGACTCTAGGAATGGGGTATCCCTGTTTGATCACACGTCCGGTATCTCTACTGCACCTGCTGCCACTGCTGACAGTACGGTTCGCTCGCAGTGGACCACTCGTGACGCTGTTGCTCGCCTTGCTGTTTGTAGTCACCTGCCGTCTGCTGAGCGTGCGCATTTTGGCCAGTACAAGACTGCTAAGTCTTTGTACGACGCTGTAGTAGCGCGCTACTCCTCCCCTGCCACTGCTGCCCTCAGCCGCCTCATGCTGCCGTACCTTTTCCCTGACCTTGCTGCCTTTGCCACAGTCGCTGACCTCATTACCCACCTCGGCACTAGTGACGCCCGCTACCGCGCTGCGCTTCCCACTGAGTTCTTTGCCAAGAACCCCCCCCCCATGTACGTCACCCTTTACTACCTAGTCACCCCCCTCCCTGACTCCCTTGCTTCAGTCAGGGACCACTTTCTCTCCCTTTGCCCCACCGAGCTCACTGTCGACCTGCTAGAGGAGCGCCTCACTACGGCTGAGAAGAGTATCTTAGCTGTAGGTGCTTCTCGCGGTGACCGTCGCACCCCTTTCTTTGAGGGGTGTTCCCCTGTCCCCCTTCTCCCCTCTGTTGCTTCTGCTGCTGCTGTCGACCTTGTTGGCACTGAGGAGGTCGGGGCTGCGTCTGCTCCTAGTGGGAGGCGCCGCACCAGCAGGGGCAAGGGGGGCAAGGGTGGTGGAGGGGACGGTGGGGGCGGCGGTGGAGGTGGTGGAGGAGGCAGAGGGGGTGGCAGTGGAGGTGGGGGTGGTGGCGGGAGTGGAGGCTTTGGTGGCGGCGGTGGGGGTGGTGGAGGCAGCGGCAGCGGTGGTGGAGGCAGCGGCAGTGGTGGTGGAGGTGGCGGCGGCGGTGGTGCTGGTCGAGGTGCAGCCGCGCAGCGTGGAGGCGTTGGTGGTAGCCAGCGCCAGCAGCAGCCGCGTTCCCGTGAGACCCCGTCGGCCCAGCAGCTTCGTGAGTGGTACGCTGGGCGTGGGAGGTCTGGGGGTGTTGGTCCCTCCACTTACGTTCTTTGCACCGGCGGGCATCGTGGGGAGACGTGCGGGCTGCCACACACTGCGCACCGCTGCTTCGGTGGACTGACTGACGCCTGGCGCGCCCAGTTTCCTGACGCTGTTGAGCTCCCTCGCTGGGGTGATCTGCTTAAGCAGAATGTTGCTATCTTTGATCTTGATTTCGATGCTATCCTTGCTGCCATGTATGCTGTGACTGATAGTGCTGAGGGTGACTGTTACCTGCGTGTTCCGCCCGACCCGGGCATTGAGGCTGCGGCTCTAGGTGCTAGTGCGTCTGCTGCTCCAGGTACTGGTGAGTCTGCTGCTTCAGGTGCTGGTGAGTCTGCTCTCTCTGGTACTGCACCTACTGAGGCCTTGCACACTTTCACACTTGACTCTGGTGCTTCGCGCTTTCTTTCGCGACAGCACCACACTCATGCCGCTCAGTCAGCCTGTCGCAGTCTCCCTGGCTGACCCCTCTGGGGGCCCAGTCCTTGCGCACTCTTCCACGGTTCTACCGTGTCTTGCGGCCCCGTCGGGCTTGCTGTCGGGACTCCACCTCCCCTCGTTCTCTACGAACTTGGTGAGTGGAGCTGACCTCCAGGATGCGTGGGTTGACCAGTTCACCCCTGGAGGTCAGTTTGTGACCCACTGCACTTGCTCTCGGACGGGCCGCCACCTGGCCACGTTCTCCCGTCGGCCTGGGTCGAGTCTGTACACACTGACTACTGCGTCTCCTCCGGTTGCTGCGTCTCGTCAGGTAGTCGCGTCTGGTCAGGTGTTTTTTGCCGTGTCCAGGTCTAGTCCAGTGTCTGCCCCCTGCTCGTGTCGTCCTCTGGCACACGAGACTCTCCTTTGGCACCACCGCCTTGGTCACCCCTCCCTGCCTCGTCTTCAAGGTATGGCCTCCCGTACCCTTGTCTCTGGTCTCCCCCGGTCCCTCCCTCCCCTTCCTCCGGGGCCTGCCCCTACCTGTGTTCCTTGTGTCGAGTGCCGGCAGCGCGCCGCTCCTCACTCCTCCGAGTTTCCTCCGACAGAGGCTCCCCTGCAGACTCTTCACATGGACGTGTGGGGCCCAGCCCGCGTTCGTGGACAGGGTCACGAGCGTTACTTCCTGCTGGTCGTTGACGACTACTCGCGTTACACCACAGTCTTCCCCTTGCGCAGCAAGGGTGAGGTCACTGAGGTGTTGATCGACTGGATCCGCGGTACCCGTTGCCAGCTCAGCGAGAGTTTCGGCTCGGACCTTCCTGTTCTGCGTCTGCACTCAGACAGAGGTGGTGAGTTTTCCTCCGACCTTCTGAGGGCCTTCTGTCGTGCGGAGGGCATCCGCTAGACGTTCACGCTTCCGGCCTCCCCACAGCAAAATGGGATTGCTGAGCGCCGCATTGGCATGGTCATGGACGTCGCTCGTATGTCCATGATCCATGCGGCTGCTCCCCATTTTCTGTGGCCGTTCGCGTTTCAGTACGCTGCGCATCAGATCAACCTTCGGCCTCGTGTCTCCTTGCCGGAGACCACACCTACTCTGCGGTGGACGGGGAAGGTTGGCGATGCGTCTGTGTTCCGTGTCTGGGGATCTCGGGCTTTTGTCCGCGATACTTCAGCGGACAAGCTGTCCTCCCGTGCCGTTCCCTGCGTCTTCCTTGGCTTCCCCCCTGACGCACCCGGGTGGCAGTTCTACCACCCCACCTTGCGTCGTGTTCTGTCCTCTCAGGACGTCACGTTTGATGAGTCAGTGTCTTACTACCGTCTCTTTCCCTACCACACTGCCTCTCTCCCCCCCCCCGCCACTCTTCCTAGCACCAGGTACTCCTCCAGTAGACCCCCTCCCCCCTCAGGGTCCTGCCCCCTCAGGTGTGTCCCAGGTAGACCCTGTCGAGCCTGTCGAGGTAGCTGTCGACTCAGGTGCTGCTAGGGGTGCTGAGCCTGCGGGTGCGGGGACTGGGGGTGTTGGGCCTGGGGTTGCTGTGTCTGAGGGTGCGGAGCCTGGGGGTGCTGAGCCTGAGCGTGTGGAGTCTGGGGGTGCTGAGCCTGGGGGTGCTGAGCCTGGGGGTGCTGAGTCTGGGAGTGCTGAGCCTGGGGGTGCTAAGCCTGAGCGTGCTGAGTCTGAAGGTCCTCCGGGTGTCCCGTCACGGCGGGAGCCCCTCTCTCCGCAGCAGCTTCGTGAGTGGTACACTCTGCGCTGTCGCCGTGCTGCTGGTGCTGGAGCTGCTGGAGGTGCTTCTGGGGCTGCTGGAGGTGCGTCTGGAGCTGGAGCTGCTGGAGGTGCTGCTGGTGCTAGAGCTGCTGGAGGTGCTGCTGGAGCTGGAGCTGCTGGAGGTGCTGCTGGAGCTGGAGCTGCTCGAGGTACTGCTGGTGCTGGAGCTGCTGGAGCCGCTGGTCCTGGAGGTACTGGTGCTGGAGGTACTGGTGCTGTCGGAGCTGCTGGAGGTGCTGGAGCAGCTGGTCCCGGAGGTGCTCGTACTGGAGATACTGGAGCTGCTGGGGCTGGTGGTGCTTCAGGAGTTGGAGCTGCAAGTGCTGGAGCTGTTGCTACTGGAGGTGCTGCTGGAGCTGGAGGTGTTGGAGTTACTGGAGTTGAGGGTACTGGTGCTGTCTCTACTGTTTCCGGAGGCGCTGCGCGGCCGCGGCCGTACTACGTTCCGCTCCTTCAGCAGGTTCTTTGTCCTCCTCCTCCTTTACTGAGTCCACCGCCTGTCCAGTCACAGTCGCAGTTACAGCCGGCCTCTCCACTGCCTGGTCCTTCTCCTTACTCTGGATCGACTAGAGGCCTTACGGAGCGTCGTGAGCCTGAGTCACCTGAGTCTCGTTCTGAGTCGCCTGTCCGCGCTGTTCGCACTGGTCGTCTTGTTCCGCGTCAGCGTCCTCCTCCTGTCCCCGGCACTCACTCTATGACACTGCGTCCTTCCACTGCTCCACAGTGTGTCCCTCTGCCGTCTCCTCCTGCGTCCTCTCTTCCTGACGGTCCGGACCCAGAGTCTGACTCCCTTCGTGCTGCTAGTCCTACTATCACGCGCTTTCTGGCCACTCCTGTCACTGACCCTTTGTTTGAGTCCACTACTGCGTCTGCTCTCGTTGCTGAGCTTGTTGACTTTGCTGCAGCCTGTCGCCTAGACTACGCCACTAGTCTTGTTGCTGAGTCTGCGTCTGCGTCTGTTTGTCCTCCGTCCGTCGGGGGTGAGTGTGCTCTTGGCACGGACCTTCTTGAGGATAGACAGGAGGAGTTTGAGTGCTTTGCTGCTGCTGTACCTCATCTCGTGTCCATGCTGCTTGCCCTTGAGGGAGACCCGGATGCACCAGACATCCCGACCCCGCGCTCTTACGCAGAGGCGATAGAGGGTCCCTACTCCTCTCAGTGGCAGGCAGCCATGGACGCCGAGATGGCTTCCTGGAAGTCCACAGGCACCTACGTCGACGAGGTTCCCCCGCCTGGGGCGAACATCGTCAGTGGCATGTGGATCTTCAGGGTGAAGCGGCCGCCGGGTTCTCCGCCAGTCTTCAAGGCACGTTACGTTGCACGAGGCTTCAGTCAGCGACAGGGAGTTGACTTCTTCCAGACCTTCTCCCCTACCCCGAAGATGACCACTCTTCGGGTGCTGCTGCACGTCGCCGCTCAGCATGACTACGAGCTACACTCGCTTGACTTCAGCACATCTTTCCTACAAGGCAGCCTGCATGAGGAGATCTGGCTGCGCTGCCCACCTGGCTTCACTGGGTCGTTTCCTGCTGGTACCCAGTGGAGCCTCCGGCGGCCAGTCTACGGTCTCCGCCAGGCACCCATGAGTGGCACGACACACTGAGGACGACTCTTGCTGCTCTTGGTTTTGCTCCTTCCACTGCTGACCCGTCGCTGTTTTTACGCACTGACACCACTCTGCCGCCGTTCTACGTTCTCGTGTACGTAGACGACTTGGTCTTTGCTACTGCTGACACTGAGGCACTCGCCCACGTGAAGTCCGAGCTGCAAAACAGACACACGTGCACAGACTTGGGTGAGCTGACAAGTTATCTTGGCTTGCGGATCACCCGGGACAGAGCACAGCGCACCATTACCTTGACTCAGTCACACATGGTGCAGCAGGTCCTTCAGCGCTTCGGCTTCACGTACTCCTCGACACAGTCCACTCCTCTGCCTACCGGTCACTCGCTCTCAGCTCCACCTTCGGACGAGTCCGTAGAGTCGAGTGGCCCGTGTCTAGAGCTTGTGGGCTGCCTCATGTACCTAATGACTTGCACACGACCTGACCTCGCATACCCTCTCAGCCTTCTGGCTCGCTACGTGGCTCCCGGCAGGCACCGAAAGGTGCACTGTGATGCTGCGAAGAGGGTGTTGCGCTACTTGTGCAGTACGTCGGGCATGGGGCTCGTGCTTGGAGGACGGGCTCGAGTTGTCCTCACTGGTCACGCAGACGCTTCCTGGGTTGACGACTTGGCTACGCAGCGGTCGTCACAGGGTTACACCTTCAGCCTTGGCTCCGGTTCTGTCTCTTGGCGGTCTACCCGCTCTTCTTCTGTTCTCAGCTCCAGTTGTGAGGCTGAGATCTACGCTGGGGCCATGGCTGCACAGGAGTTACGCTGGCTCACCTACCTGCTGACCGACTTGGGAGAGGCGCCTCGTTTTCCTCCAGTTCTGTACGTCGACAACAAGGCCATTATTGCCTTGTGTCAGGAGCACATACTGGAGCACAGAACGAAGCACATTGCTCTGCGCTACTTCTTTGCTCGAGAGTTGCAGCAGCGTGGTCAGCTTCGTCTTGCTTACGTGGCCTCTCAGGCCAACACTGCTGATGTTTTCACCAAGGCACTTCAGCCTTGTGATTATCAGCGTTTCTGTACTGTTCTAGGCCTTGTACCTACTGTGCCTCACTTGCTTACTTCTTGACTCTGCTTGTACTGTACTCTCTATACATATACCTGCATGCTTACACTTGCTAGGTTGTGTTCACTGTATTGTTTGTTCTCCTTTGTATAACTCTGCATGTGAACTGGCCTTGTGGCCATTTGCTTGTGCTCGGACTGTGTGGTGACTTTGTGATCCACCCTGAGCTTGCTTTGCCTTTCTTGACTGGTCTTGTGACCTCTTGTTCTCCCCCACTTTGCCTATGGGGGTGTGTCAAACTTATATGCTATAGTCTATCTAGGCTGTAGTGGGGTAGTTCATATAGGGTACAACACTTTTAGGTTTGCTACTTGTACCCACCTGCTTGCTAGTTTTGTCATTCATTCGTTCACTATTCTAACAGCCACGCCATGTTACAAGTGATCAACGATGCACTGTCATGGAAAATCAGCGTGGTCATTCCCCCATCCGCAGCAGCGGAGCTACACTTTTGGCTTGAGGAGTTTGACCGGTTCAACGGTGCACCTTTTCACGTCCGGAACAGCTACGATGCAGTAATCCATGTGGATGCCAGCTCTCACGGTTAGGGCGCCACTCTGACCACATTCCCTGGTGGCCTTGAAGAAGTTAGCACAACCGTGTCAGAGTCGCAACGAGCAACGTCTAGCACGCGGCGGGAGATCGAAGGCGTCATTTGGGCGCTCCAAACGTACGCCAACAAGATCAAGCAGAAACACGTTATCGTGCGTATGGACAACCAGGGCGTATTCTTCATCCTTCGCAAAGGCGGCTCTCGTATGTCAGAATCCCAACCACTAGACCATTGGGATAAAAGGGCTTGTTAAGTAGCGGGTCAGAGTGCGCCCATAACCCCCCAGGCGAACGCGCCTGTAACCCCCCTAGGATCAATCGGGCATCCACAGTGCAGAGCTACTGACACCCCCCCACACTGGGAGGCCCAGGACTGAGCACAGCGGCAACTGCCTACATGTGCATATACCGGGATTCGAACCCGAGACCATTCTGACAGCGTGTCAGAATCCCAGTCACTAGACCATTGGGATAGAAGGGCTTATTAAGTAGCGAGTCAGTGCGCCCATAACCCCCCAGGCGAACGCGCCTGTAACCCCCCTAGGATCAATCGGGCATCCACAGTGCAGATCTACTGACACCCCCCCACACTGGGAGGCCCAGGACTGAGCACAGCGGCAACGGCCTACATGTGCATACACCGGGATTCGAACCTGAGACCACTCTGACACCATGTCAGAATCCCAATCACTAGACCACTGGGATAAAGGAATTGTTAAGTAGCGGGTCAGAGTGCGCCCATAACCCCGAGGCGAACGCGCCTGTAACCCCCCTAGGATCAATCGGGCATCCACAGTGCAGATCTACTGACATCGTAGCCCCGACCTCACAACGGCCTGCAAGAGCATCATCTGTACATGCATGGAGCTCGGCACGCGCTTGATCATCGAATGGATTCCGCGCGAGCTTAACTTACACGCCGACGAGCTTTCAAAAATGGTCGACCACGATGATTACGCATTTAAAACGCCGTGGTTCCGCATCTTAGAACGTCGGTGGGGTCCCCACTCCATCGACCTCTTTGCCAACTCCCGCAACACCCAACTGTCGCGCTTCTCCACAAAGATTCCCCACTCGGAAACCATAGCAGTTGACACGTTCTTGATCGCATGGACATCCGAAAACAACTTCGCTTTTCCCCCACCACAACTGGTCCCAGCTGTCCTACACCATGCACAACGCACCCATGCATCACTTACGTTGATACTACCGTACTGGCCAGGCGCAAGTTGGTGGCCACTTTTGCAGCCCTCCCCATGCACTTGGGCCCCGCACATCCCCCTGACACACGGAAGCCAATGCCTAGATGTAGGTGTCAGAACTAACGAACAAGAATGAATGAACTATGAAACAGTTGGGTACAAGTACTAACCCTAATTGGGTTGTACCCCTTATGGGCTACCCCACTATAGCCTACAAAAATGTAAGCACTATAACATTCTGACACACACCCATAGGCAAAGTGGGGGAGAACAAGTGGTCACAAGACCAGTCAAGAAAAGCAAAGCAAGCTCAGGGTGGATCACAAAGTCACCACACGATCCGAGCACAAGCAAAGGGCCACAAGGCCAGTTCACATGCAGAGTTATATAAAAGAGAGCAAACAATACAGTGATCATACCCTAGCAAGTGCAAGCATGCAGGTATATATATAGATCATAGTACAAGCAAAGTCACGCAGTGAGCAAGTGAGGCAAAGTTGGCACAAGGCCTAACACAGTAGCAAAGCGCTGATGATCACCAGGCGGAAGTGCCTTGGTGAATACATCTGCAGTGTTGGCCCTAGTGGCCACGTACGCAAGACGAAGCTGGCCACGCTGCTGTAACTCTCGAGCAAGGAAGTATCGCAGAGCAATGTGCTTCGTTCTGTGCTCCAGTCTGTGCTCCTAACACAAGGCAATCATGGCCTTGTTGTCTACGTACAGAACTGGAGGCGAACGAGGCTGCTCTCCCAAGTCAGTCAGCAGGTAGGTGAGCTAGCGTAGCTCCTGTGCAGCCATGGCCCCTGCGTAGATCTCAGCCTCACAACTGGAGCTGAGAACCGAAGACGAGCGAGTAGACCGCCAGGAAACACAGCCGGAACCAAGGCTGAAAGTGTAACCCTGTGACAACCGCTGCGTAGCTACATCGTCAACCCAAGAAGCGTCAGCGTGACCGGTGAGGACAACTGGACCCCGTCCTCCAAGCACGAGCCCCATGCCCGACGTTCTGCACAAGTAGCGCAACACCCTCTTCGCAGCATCCCAGTGCACCTTTCGGTGCCTACCGGGAGCCACGTAGCGTGCCAGAAGGCTGAGAGGGTATGCGAGGTCAGGTCGTGTGCAAGTCATCAGGTACATGAGGCAGCCCACAAGCTCTGGATACGGGCCACTCGGCTCTACGGACTCGTCCGAAGGTGGAGCTGAGAGCGAGTGACTGTTAGACAGAGGAGTGGGCTGTGGCAAGGAGAACTGGAAACCGAAGCGCTGAAGGACTCGGTGCACCATGTGTGACTGAGTCAGGGTGATGGTGCGCCGTGCTCTGTCCCAGGTGATCTGCAAGCCAAGATAGCTACGCAGTTCACCCAGGTCAGTGCAGGTGTGTCTCTTTTGCAGCTCCGACTTGACAAGGGTCAGTGCCACGGTGTCAGCAGTGGCAAAGACTAGGTCGTCAACGTAGACGAGGACGTAGAACGGCGGCAGTGAGGTGTCGGTGCGTAGAAACAGCGACGGGTCTGCTGTAGAAGGAGCAAACCCAAGAGCCGCAAGTGTAGTCCTCAGAGTGTCGTGCCACTCGCGAGGTGCCTGGCGAAGACCGTAGACTGGCCGCCGGAGGCTCCACTGGGTACCTGCAGGAAACAACCCAGTCAAGCCAGATGGGCGGCGCAGCCAGATCTCCTCGTGCAGGCTGCCCTACAAGAAAGCTGTGCTGAAGTCAAGAGAGTGCAGCTCGTAGTCACGTTGAGCAGCGACGTGCAGCAACACCCGAAGAGTGGTCATCTTCGGGGTGGGGGAGAAGGTCTGGAAGTAGTCAACCCCCTGTCGCTGACTGAAGCCTCGAGCAACGTAACGCGCCTTGAAGGCAGGCGGAGAACACGGCGGCCGCTTCACCCTGAAAATCCACATGCCATCGACTATGTTCGCCCGAGACGGGGGAAATGCGTTGACGTAGGTGCCTGTGGACTTCCAGGATGCCATCTTGGCATCCATGGCTGCCTGCCACTGAGAGAAGTAAGGACCCGTAATCCCCTCTGCGTAAGAGCGCGGGGTCGGGATGTCTGGTGCATCCGGGTCTCCCTCAGGGGCAAGCAGCAAGGAAGCGAAACGAGGTACAACAGCTGCAAGACACTCTAAGTCCTCCTGCCTGTCCTCAAGGACGTCTGTGCCAAGA